GAAGACCTTTGACCGGCACTTTTATAATTTTGTCGGAAGATTTAAACTTTAATACACCTTGACTGACGAAAAATTCTGCCCGGTTCCCTCGGCCCCCACCGCGGAGAATAAACAGAAGGGTAACCATGACAACCATGCTTCTTCGCTGCTTTTATGGAGGAAGTTACAGCGCCACGTACAGGCTCCTGCATGTACTGCAGCTTCTCCAGCGGTTGGAGCTAAACGGAGCTGTCTCGTGTGGACAGACACTATCCGGATGACTATTGCGTGTGGACGGAAGCTTTTTTGCAATTGCGTTTGCGTTAATCCTATGCGTTTAGCCGTTTTCGTCCTCGTGTGGCCGGGGCATTAATGACTGACTGAATGGAAATGACAATAAATGAAAAATATAAAACGAAAAAAGCGATCATGAAAATGTTTCCAATAAATGAATAAAATGATTTTTGACCCCTTTGTTGTTCAGACATATCACATATTTGTCACTAAATGAAACATTAATTGAAACAAAACACGGTATAAACTGAGGAGTGACTCCCGTGAGGTCATGTGTTTTCTTCACTCCGCTGGGAAACTGCTCTCATGTCAAGAAGCATCAGATCAGTGCATGCACTGCATCGTCCCAATCAGTGAGCGATACACAGTAAGGGGGCGGGGCGAGTGTCTGAGGATTTCATCGGAGGATGGTCTGCTGGTTCCTCGATTATCGCTCCTCGCTCCTTGATCCTCGCTCCCTCCGCAAAAATAAGGCCATTGGGACGCTACTCAAGTTGGCGCAGACAAATCAACCTCCGGTGAGACCGAGACAGAGGAGCGAGGAAATGAAAAATAAGAGAAGTGAGAAGGCCCTAAGAGTCACGACACTCCCATCGACCTCCGTTGTAAAAAATGGCGGCGCATACTTCCGGGGTATGGACTTCAAAATAGTTCCAAATATTGTCATTTGGGCGTTTCAACTCATTCACTTACATTACGGCGTGTCGATTAGTTCCAGAGGTAAGTTGCTGAAATATCGAACTCTTTTGAATTGTCAACTGTCTATATTGTATCAGAGGCCCTTTATGATGCTTATACTGGTCTTCATTTGTATATGCACAGCGTAATTATCTATATCTTATCTTGGTTGTTACAACCAATTTTGCTAGCATTGCCTGCTAGTTAGCTAGCGCGACTTCGTCAGCTTGAAGGTAAGATTTCAGTAATGAATCGCTAGCAGCTTATATATCAATGATGCTGGGTAACTAACAAGCAGGATTTAGATTGATTATATGTTTTTATCTGCTGAACCTGACCGTGTCAGCCATCCTTAGTCGGCTTTTTCTGTATGATATGACTTAACTGCTAGCACTAGTAGAAATGAGGTGGCGTTTGTGATAAATATTTCATTGAATTTTGGGATATACTAACATTTCATTATGTGACATGTTGACTGTACTTTGTTTTTTGTTGTACTGTTCCTTGTTAACTCATCTGTACTGTAGGAACTAGCCTAGCGCTACTTTGTAATGCTTGATGGCATGCTAGGATAGATTCCTTTGTATTGTAATATACACACTAGTTTAATGATTGTTCTTCAAATGTATTATTCAGTCTTAAAAAAATAATAGCCTACTGAATAGGCTACTCTACAGCAGTGAATGAAGGATGAGCCTAAAACATGGTCATGCATCCAAAATGTTTATTTTTAACAAAATAAACACTTTTTAAAAAATAATTAGCACTTTATATGTCAACCATGGCTGTTGCTGCTGCTGCTGGCGGAGGCTGCTGGTGCTGAAGGAGGGTGCTGCTGCTGGAGGAGGCTGCTACTGCTGAAGGAGGGTGCTGCTGCTGGAGGAGGCTGGTGCTGGCAACGGCTGCAGGTGATGACTGCTGAAAGAAGAGGAGGCTGGAGGCTGCTGACGGTGGACCGGGAATGGAGATGCCAAGTACATCGATGGCAACGAGTAAAGTGTTTGGCAGTGGCCTAGATGTTACCGGCCTACTCTCCTGTTACCGGCCTGCTCTCGTCTATCCCACATGCTCCACTGACATCCAACATCTAGTTTCAGGCGGCCTGTGGAACTGCCAGTCAGCTGTTCCTAAGGCTGACTTCATCTCTGGCTACGCTTCCCTGCAGTCTCTGGATTTCCTTGCTCTCACTGAGACGTGGATTACTCCATCCAACACATCCACCCCAGCAGCTCTCTCCACAGCATATTCCTTCTCCCATACACCCAGACCCACTGGCAGAGGAGGTGGCACTGGTCTCCTGCTCTCTCCCAAATTGAGCTTTTCCCTCTTCAAGCTACCTAACTTCACTCCTTCCACCTTTGAATTCCATGCCGTCACAGTAACCCATCCTATACAATTAACCATTGTTGTTCTCTACCGGCCACCAGGCGCCTTGGGGGACTTCTTGGAGGAATTAGATCATCTCCTCTCACACATCCCTGAAACTGGTCCTCCCGCTGTACTTCTCGGAGACTTCAACCTCCAGACAGGGAAGATAGACGAACTAACATCTCTGTTAACCGCCTTTGCTTTCTCACTGTCTCCGTCCCCACCAACTCATAAAGCTGGCAATGTCCTTGATCTCATATTCTCAAGGAACTGTACTACTTCTAACCTCTCTGTAAACCCGCTCCACACATCCGATCACTTCTTCATTTCATTCTCTCTACCCCTTTCCAAACATAACAAACTAATCTCTTCTCATCCTGCACCTGTCCGCCGTAACCTTCGTTCCCTCTCCCCCTCTACCTTTGCCTCATCGGTGCTCTCAGCCCTCCCTTCCTCAGACTCGTTCCAACTACTACCTCCAAACTCTGCTGCAGAAACACTCCTCTCTACTCTCTCATCCTCTCTGGACTCTCTCTGTCCTCTCAACATCTCGGCAGGCTCGTCAGTCCCCTCCTGCTCCCTGGCTAAATGATGCACTGCGTGCTAATAGAACCGTCCTTCGGGCAGCAGAGCGGAAATGGTGGAAATCCAAACACCCGTGACAACCTCCTAACCTATCAGGCTCTCCTCTCCTCTTTCTCTGCTTTGATCTCTCAGGCAAAAAGCACTTTCTTTTCAAGATAAGATCCAATCCTCCTATTCCAATCCCAAAAAACTATTTTCCATCTTCTCCTCCCTCCTGGATCCCCCCAAAGCCCCTTCCCCCTTCTGTCAAGCGACTTTGTTAACCACTTTGAAAAAAAGGTTGATGATATTCGCTCTTCTTTTTCTGACTCACCTCTACTCACTGCTGGGTCACCAGACCCCTCCTTTCACCCACACACTGACCTCCTTTCCCCCTCTCTCTCCAAGTGAGGTTCTTACCCTCATTACCTCTGCCCGCCCTACCACCTGTCCTCTTTACCCTATCCCTTCAAACCTCCTTCAGGACTATCGCTCCTGATATTCTACCGTTTCTCACCCATTTCATCAACACTTCTCTAACTTCTGGTCACTTTCCAAACAGTCTCAAGGAGGCAAGAGTAAACCCTCTCCTAAAGAAACCCACTCTCAACCCGTCTGATGTTATAAACTACAGGCCTGTCTCTCTCCTCCCGTTCCTGTCTAAAACACTTGAATGCGCTGTCTTTAAACAACTCTCCTGCTATCTCCATCAGAACAACCTTCTGGATCCGCCACCAGTCTGGTTTCAAGGCAGGTCACTCCACAGTAACTGCCCTTCTTGCTGTCACTGAGGAACTGCACACTGCTAAAGCAGCCTCCCTCTCCTCTGTCATCATCCTTTTGGACCTGTCTGCTGCATTCGACACGGTGAATCATCAGATCCTCCTTCGCACTCTCCAAGAACTTGGAGTTTCAGGCTCTGCACTTTCCCTCCTCACCTCATACCTCAAAGACCGCACCTACAGGGTTACTTGGAGAGGGTCCGAGTCCGACCCTTGTCAATTAACTACAGGGGTCCCTCAGGGCTCTGTTCTTGGTCCCCTCCTCTTCTCCTTGTACACAAACTCGCTCGGATCAGTCATTAGCCCGCATGGTTTTTCATACCACTGCTACGCTGACGACACCCAATTAATTCTGTCCTTTCCCCGCTCAGAGACCCAGGTCGTCGCACGCATCTCTGCTTGTCTAGCTGACATCTCTCAGTGGATGTCTGGTCATCACCTCAAGCTCAACCTTGACAAGACTGAACTGCTTTTCCTTCCGGGAAAATATTGTCCCACTCTTGACCTAACAATCAACATTGGCACCTCTATTGTTTCCCCGACTCAGACTGCAAGGAATCTGGGTGTGACCCTAGATAACAACCTGTCCTTCACTGCAAACATCGCTGCTACAACCCGCTGCTGCAGATACACGCTTTACAACATCAGGAGGATGCGTCCCCAGCTGACCCAGAAAGCGACGCAGGTTCTGGTCCAGGCTCTCGTCATCTCACGCCTAGACTACTGCAACTCCCTCCTGGCTGGTCTACCTGCATGTGCCATCCGACCTCTGCAGCTCATCCAGAATGCAGCTGCTCGCCTGGTCTTCAACCTTCCTAAATTATCCCACACCACGCCGCTCCTCCGCTGCCTTCACTGGCTTCCGATAACTGCTAGAATCCACTTCAAGACAATGGTACTTGCGTACCATGCTGCGAATGGATCTGGCCCTTCCTACATCCAGGACATGGTTAAACCGTACACCCCAGCACGTGCACTCCGACCCAAGTTCCCATCAGCAAAAACACGTGGGTTTGCTATTCTGGCTCCAAAATGGTGGAATGAGCTCCCCATTGACATCAGGACAGCAGATAGCTTACACACCTTCCGGCGCAGACTGAAAACTCATCTCTTTCGACTCCACTTCGAGAAATAGAACTATTAACAAAGCACTTATATACTAATAAAGGGCTGGCTTATCTAAAGCCAGTTGAGTAGCACTTGAAATGTTTTTGCTCTATGAGGCCTGATGTACTTATATGATTCTGTTTTCTTCAAGTTTGTATTTTGTTGGTCAAACGCACTTATTGTAAGTCGCTTTGGATAAAAGCGTCGGCTAAATGCAATGTAATGTTATGACCTTCAGTGCAGAGGTCTGTTGGGTCTTCTTTGCCTTCTTACTCTGACTCTTGCTGCCAAGATACCCTTTATGTTTATCCTTCCTCTCAGCCCTGATGCACTTTGATGCAATCCTTAACCTCAGCCTGATGTATGTTGAGAGGATTTTTTTTCTTCAGGTCATGGCATGAGGGAAGGTTGCTGTCCAGCAACATGGCTTCTTGTTTCAGCTGTGACACTGCATTTGAGGACTCCATGAGGGAATCGCTCGTCCTCGATCCTGCACGTGAGCCCGGTCACAACTGGCCCTTGGCAGTCTGGTCCCTGGAGCACCTGACCCTGGCAAACTGGCCTCTTCATAGCTGACCCCTGACTGACTGGCTCCTGGCACACTGATCTCTAGTAAGGTGGCCTCTTGATTGTCGGCCCCTAACATACTGGCCCCTGGCAGTCTGCTGACATCTGTATCACTCTCTCTGTCTGTTATGTCCCTTTCATTCCCTTGGAACCTCCACCTCAATATCTCCTGAATCTCTGTAACAATAACAAGGCAATCTTGCTGTTATATGTGTATGCTGCCTTTACATGTGCACCTATTGTCAATTAAGGGTACACTATACTCCTATAGTGACATTCATCTAAGTTCGTCTATTGGCAATGTTAAAGTATGGAGAAATCTGTAGATATCTACATGTGGTATATGAGTCTTCAGTGAATCCCTGAACCCTGGTAGTTTTGAAGCTGTATAATCTGAAGGTTGCATTAGGAGTTTAGTCTATCCTTGAATTATATAACATGGGAAACATTGTTAGCTTCATATATCATACCAATGTTTGATGTGCCATAATAGGTGTGGTCATCATTCCTGACATTAACAGCTGGAGGCATACTCCTTGACTGTTGTTGTCTCTCCTTCGCTCTACGTCCTTGGGGAAGCCATACATCCGGAACCCCTTCTCGGATCGATTAGAGCATCCAAATGCTGCACATCCAACCATGGTATGACAACTGATCTATTAAAATGCAATATAAACGAAAGTGCCATAACATTTGTTGTGCAAACATTTTAACATGAATATTGCTATGTCCTCTGTTCAGTCTGCTCCCAACTGTATTCTCTCCCCTTATTCACCACTGTTCCTATTCTTGCTCTGCTTTTTAGGGCCCAGGAAACAGATGAAGAGAATGTCCCTTTCACAAAGGAACCTTTTGGTTTTTTTCAAAATGGTTAGGCTCCTGGATGCCCTAGAGCAGGGGTGGGGAACCTCCGGCCCCCGGGCCGTATAAGGCCCGCGAGACCATTTGAGGTAATTTATAAACACACGCAAAAAAGAAAAAAATTAAAGAAATCTAGACCGCAAAATAATTAAACAAGTGAGTGCCTGTTTTTCCTGGCCAAGGTCAGGGTCCTTGAACACAACACAAGCCTACCGTGTCATCACGTGGTATATGTCTTGTCTGACAGGGGTGCAGTTCTGCCGGAGAGCACCAGAACGCGGCACTTCCAACAATTGCAGTACCGATAAGTCCGTAGACATGCTGCAGTTTTTGCGTGGCTGTGTCTTAGTTGTAAGCCCAGTGGTCTGTTCATCTGACATACTGATCATACAGTCAATAGCTTTGTTGTTATTAGCATCTGGTTAGCTAGCTATGCTAACGAATATAATAAGCTTTTTCTACAACCAGTGAGGTAAAGGCACATCTTTATATGATCATTATAGTTATAAAACAAATAAGAGAATAAAGTAAACAGGTATAAAATACTATATGACAGTAAAAATAATACAGTTTGAAAGGAGAGTGATTTGTAAAATATCCAAAAAGAAAATCTGCTTACAGTTTCATATGGGGTGTTGAGAGATGTGTCCATAGATCTCCTAATGTTGCTCTCAAAGTGCACCAGATTGATGCTTTTAACTTCAACATTTAAAAAACAAATCTTCCCGGGGGAGCATACCCCCCGGACCCCCCTAGAGGAGATTAGGTCCCCCCCCACTTAAATCATGTTCACAGGAGTCTAAATACATTTGCACACATCTTGTGTCCATATATTTTTGTTGTGGTGGTCATGCCACAACCGTGCACGTGCATGCGTGATTCATGGCAAGATATCTGGATTCAGAGGTTGCTTTTTCTTTGCACAGCATGAAAGAAAGGTGAAATGAGTGGGCTGTGATTTTTGTATTTTTAAGCAGAGGTCAATAATTTGTACGGCCCTCGGAAGATGTTGAAAACATTGAAAAGGCCCTTGAGAGGAAAAAGGTTCCCCACCCCTGCCCTAGAGCTCTGTATTGCTTTTTTGTACCCCCCCCCCCACAATTGTTGTTCGCACAATTATGCTTCTGTTTTTCACTTTTTGGTGTCCATTGTTCAGCCACTGTATTGGTAAGCAACAATTTGTTTTGGCCAAAATGTGTTATTCACACTCCTGACTCCAGTTTGATGTGCTGCATTCTCCTCTGAGTGGTCCTGATTTCAGGCAGAGGTCATGGCTTGGAAGGTTTTATATCCTGTAGTGCCTCAACAGAACCTAATATGAATTGCTTTTTTCAGTTTCTCTTTTTTTTTTTTATTGTCTCGTCGCTGGATCACCTCCCCCTGGCAAAGTGGCCTTTTTTTATTGTTGACAAACCTGTTTTTGTTACTCTGTTGAACCATGGTTCAACAGGAGCTTCTGTAAATAGTTTTGTAAATAGTTTGAATATTTATCATAGTATCATTTTCAGTCTCCCACTCTCTCAATTTAATTTATCGTTTCTTTGCCCCACCATATGTTTTGTTGTCCAAGGCAGAGGTCGCGTTAACCGAATATTTTCCGTCTATGACGGATTTTTTTTAACAATGACGGAAAAATCTGAAAGCCGTCCGTCATTTTGATGGACTAGAACAAACTCAGAACAGCGCCAGAGTTTCCTTGCAGCGAGGCTCCGGTGTTATGCCGTGTTATGCATTAACAAATTATACAGTTTCCAAACCTAACTTCTAACTTTGCCGAACAGAACTGTGAGTATTTGCTTTACGCTGTGCGCGATCCCGCGAGGTGCAATGGGCTTGCATAACACGGCGCTAACAGGCCCCCCCCCCCCACTACTTTGTTTTGTTCTAACACACATCACTTTTTCCATACACTGTTCTTAAAGATTTTTTTATAATTGCCAGTAAAATCGAAATCATATAGCTACAACACTATCTAAGATATTGCAGTATTAAAATCGGAGATAATATGCGTCTGGCAATGCGTAATATTTATTTTGTTCAACCCCCAACACCAAGTCCGACGATTTATTTCTCAGCCATTAAAGACGCTCATCTCCGCAAGATGGCGCTGCGCGTGACGTCAGAGTGTACAAACATATTTCCACCTGGCTTATCGCTCACAGCTGCTTCCGCCGATAGTACAACTTAGTTTCGTTATCATGTCTGATTCTGAGTCGGAGGCCACCCAAGATCTGGAGTATGTTGTCGACATCCAACCATATCTATACGAGCCTCTGATGTCGAAGAGGAAATACAAGGAAACGTCACCTGACATCACCGATGAAAGTGCTGATGGCGATGATTCAAGTTCGCCATCTGAGGCAGAGGCCGAGGGTGCTGACAATTGGTCAGTCACCAAGCATGTCCTAGTGCACATTGTTTGCCTGTTGAGTTTTGTTCAAGGAATCGTATATTTTGTTTTATATTGTATGTTGACCCTTAGTTATAGTCATGTTATGTGTTTACTGTGTACAATTCTATGCCTAACACTGACTGCCTAGCACTGTATACAGGGCTCTCATCGCAGTTTTTCTCGATCTGTGCGCGATATAGATACGGCCAGTTTGATGGTAGGTTTTAGTATTGGGCTATGGTTCCAGAGCTACTGACTGCCACTAAAGTATTTTGACTCGTTAGTTGTATTAACTGATGGTAGGTGATTATATTAGGACAGAAGGTGTTTGAGGAATTTAGCTGTAGATACTTAGACTCCATGTACCAGTTCATTGGTGAAACAGTTCAATAATCAATATGCATCTCGCAAATCTATGACCAGAATGCTCGGGTCCTCTGCAATGACAACCATATCCACCCCGAAAGAGGATGTTTTTTTAGCAGTCGGACAACTGAACCACATCATCCAGAATTTACAATAATTCTGTTGTGTTGCCAGTTTGGTTTGTTTGTAGTAGACATTTGATTCCCATGCACGACAGAACGATATAATGAGGCATGCACATCAAATTAGTTAAGATATTGTGCATATTTGAACTTTACTGCATATTTGAATTTTACTAACAGTTACGTGGTAGAACATACTAAATTTAATTTTACTGGACAATAAAATCACAATTGTTTTCAAAATGTGCGGGCCCGTTTTAATTAGTCCAACTATCACCGACAGGTGTAGATGTGGAAACTGCCAGACCATGCCTACAGGCCGAGAAAACAAGTGCTGCCACAACTATGGGAAAGTGAAGGAAGAGATGGGAGAAGAAGTCTGCATCACCGACTGTAGGACGTTCGACATAAACTGTCTGGATCGTGATGTGCTGCGTGTGTCCCGGTATGAGTACGCCCACCATAATGGGCCGTATGGGGACGAAGAACCGGAACATGAAGTCTACAGACATCTGGCGTACCGGCGATTTTGCTTCCTGATTTGGCAAAAACTTGGCCGTGGGAATAGACGTGTTATTCCGAGTTGCGCTGTACTGGCCATCAGGAAAGCATTTCCTAATCCTGAAAGGGTTGCCTACACAGGATTTAAACCAGCCGTCAGTGAATGATATTCTATTGTCACAATACTCTGGTTGTATACATGTTGTCGCTTACAGTATTAACTAGGTGTACCTTATGGTTATGTCCAAATTCTTATTTCTTCTGTTTTTCAGACAAAACTATATTGTATTTCATTAGATTTAAAAAAATCTGTGTACGGTTTCAATTATCTAGATGTTTAAAGTGAATGTAACACGAAATTCAGTAAAAAGAAATTACATGAATTACTTTAAGGTACTTGTGTATGGTTGTCTTATTGTATAAGAGTTGTGCATAAAATGAAGAAAAAACATTATGTGCAGTATGGTCAAAAGTATAAAAACAAACAAAATAATGTACATAGTGTTTAATTTATTTCGGACAGCAGAATTACACAATTCATGCAAAAACTCAAGGGAAATGTGCCCTGATTTTGTAAGGCTAAATACACCAGTATTAGTAGATGTGTACAAAAATAATGTCGTGTACATGATATAACATAACATGACAATCCAAATGTAAAACAGTATCTTGATATCAGAAGACCAAATTGAATTAACTTGGTAATTTTATGTCTCCATGATTTTCTTTAACATTTCGAAATTCAGAACAGTACATATTTGGCATGGTCCCGATCTTACTGGACAATATATAAAAACATCCAAACATGATTGATACATTGCGATTGCAGAGCATATTTAGTAGTCAGACTTGTAAGACTACCAGACATAATTACATGTTGCCTGATCACAAAATACAAGAACAAAATAGTGCCACGGGCTCTGTAGCTTACCACCATATCAACTCTGAAAGAAACACAGCGGAAATTCTTAACACACCCCAGAGATATTGTCCAGTGACCAGCTGCTCAACGAACTTGGTTACGAGAAGAGTATTTTTGAATCATCTGGGTTTAAATGCATAACTCATATCAGACCTCAAACCTAATGACCACAGCAGTCTTCTCAAAATAAACTAGATATGCACAATTGTATCCCCCTGGTAACCCTCATAAGTATAACCAAGATCAACATGAAATGAATTGATTTTGAGCACCAGTAAAAAAAAAAAAGATGTCACACCTCCGCCATTTTTTTTACAAGCCCATAAAAGGATCACCATCGCTAAAGCATACTATCCTCTCTAACGGTCTAATGGCTGTTTAGCTTAAAAAAAAAGACATTTACATTTTCAGACATCTAAATATAGATTATGCATCGTTTTCCTTATCAATTACGCTTTTATTAAAGCGACTCCTGCTCCTCTGTACTCCAACAAGCACAAGCTTGTTGGGTTTTACAAATGCTGAAGCAATTGGGGGTGGGACTTGTCTGTTTGACCTCAGAGCTTCGGCCTTCTTGTAGCTAGGGTATGTATTCCGCAGCTCAACAACCTCTCCCATCAGTTCTTGCACATAAGCTGAAAAGACAAACAAGGGGGAAAATATTATTCCGAAAACAACACATTCGGGCCCTGTTGAAAGCTTAGCGATAGGCACATTGAGCAGACACTCACCGAAAGTTGGTGTAACTTTGACTGCTTTGATGACTGGCTCTCCCCTCCTGGCCTTCGGAAACGACACGCCCCACATGTGTTTCCCGGTCTGCGTCATAGCTTGAGCCCGTGCAGAATTTTCATTAAAGTGTAGTCCGGCTAATTGTACTCTGCATCAAAAAATATTAATATAAATTGTGTAGGACAATTCACCAAAATAAATCCCTTGAGCAAGGGAAGTTTTAGAAATACCTGGCAGCCATAGTAGTGAATGGGAAATGCACGCTCTTGGGTGCAAAGAATAAAATGACTTTATGAAACGACTCCAAAGATGACGTTTGTTCTGCAGGCGACAGGCGAGCGATGTCCTTCAACAGCAGCTTGCTTTTGACGATCAGCTCCAGCTCTTTGTAGGGTTTAGAACCTTTGGGAAAAAAATATTCTCTTCGTCAATTTACTGGACATTGTCGGTCTGACATAGTATTTACTGGATTCCCCCAAATATTTTGGAAGGATGCAAAAATGTGTCCTTGTAAGTGTATACACATTTGTGTCTTAAGTACCTTTGATAAGCCAGTCTCGTTCATCATTTTGTTCCAGTGGACCATGTACACAGCTTTGAAAGAGCTGTCCATGGCCAGTATGGACATTGATGACATGGTTGAGCAGCGACAGCCACTTCTCAACAACCAATGGTCCGTCACCTTGGCTGGTTGATGCCACCCAATATATGTGGTGACTGATGGACTTCGACCACATCAGCAGTATGTTCAGGATCTTCCTCTTCCCTTTGGCATCAAGCTTTTTTCGGATCCCTACAGTATTATATAAAATAGTACACCGTTTATCTTGCTTACTTAAAGCACATGTTTATTTCAGTATGTTTTTATGTAAAATAGCACCTTACCTTTAGCTACATGCCATACATCAAACCAGTGTTCAATTGAAGGCTCCTTCTCCCTCATATATTTCTTAACAGAACCATGCCGATCTGTGGTGATTGATGCTATGATGACACCTTCATCCTTCAGCTTTTGAAGACCCCTCTTCAGTCCCTCCAACTCCATGGCGTTTGAGCTGCTGACTTCATTGCTCTGGATGGATATAGAACCAGAGCATGATTATACACAGATATCAGGTTATTACAGAGTGATTGAACCAAATCTAACTCACCTGTATTAGCTGTGTGTCAAGCACTTTGGAGTTAGTCAGGTCCATCAAGGTGTAGCTGCCATACTTTGCAGTGTGACCAGGCAAACAACAGCGACCGTCTCCTCCTAACTTAGCTGGCTGATCCTTCAACGCTGCCAGGTGGTGATGTTGTTGTTTTCTTTTCCACACATTTTCAACAGCAGGAATCAGGTACGAGGTTTGGAGCAGGGAATATGTTCGCAGAGATATGGCTGGGATATTCATGTATCGAAACAAATTCAGAATCTTCACAGAGCTGTTCCCTCTAAACAAAATGGCTGAAGCAATCTGAAGGTTTCCTGCAGGCATTGTTCCATAGCATGGTTGGGAGTCCCATACCTTAGAGTGGCCATGTGCACACAACTGTTCAAACACCACCATGCTCCCAATGACGCGCTTGAGCTGGACCCGACAAGTGGCGAAACACACAGAGCAGATGGCCAGCAACTTCAACAGGCAACTGCCATAGACCAGGAACTTTTGGTCTTCCAGAGGCGAGGCATCTGCATAAAGTTCTTTCTTCCTGAAATAAGATTTGAAATTTGTAAACGTGGAAATAGGGCACCGTCGGAAATGAGACTGGACACTGGACAGTTACACATACCAGTATTCATATATGCCGTCTGACTCTCATCGCTCTTTATAATAGCTACATAATACACTTTAATATGTTTGAGATAATACAAGAGGGGTCTTCAGTGAGGTGTGATATCACACCGAACGTCATCAGTGTATTATCTGTCATAAATCCCGTGAATGTAGCTATAATATAAGTAGCAATATCAGCGCCGTTAAATATCTGATATCACCCCCATGGGGTTTATATCCAAATAAGATCTCAATATATAAGACATAACACGATATTTACTGAACATCTACATGTACTTACACAGTATTGTCATCATCTGTGTCTCCATCATCCTGGTCTGTTGTTGCATCTTCACATGAAAAATGCCAGTCAGGATCATCATCTGACTCATCATCAGACTGATCTTCGGAATGATCACTGTCTTCATCGAGATCTATGGGAGGAGGCTGGTACGATGTCCCGATCGTTGTGGTGAGGAGTGCAGTCTGTTGTCCGAAGTCCGAACCAGATTTGAGGCCCAAAGTACAGGTTCCCCTTGACCTTGATGCTTTTTTCCGAGATGGAAAATCTCTCTCGTGCGTTTGAGTGGCACGGTTTTGCAGCTGTAATAAAATTGGAAAATAACAAATTGAACATTTACAAGATGAACAATCTTGATTGTGTATTACAACAGCAGTCAAATTAGAGGGCATGTGTCCATTCAAAAAGGCTGATATTGGTACTAGTATATATATGTGAACAATAACTACATCATGATGATTTGTTCTTTATTCTTTTGTTTACCTCTACTTCGGTTTGCATTGCAATTTCAGCTGTTGGCATGGCTCCAGAAGAGTGTGGCTCCTCTGTCCCAATCTCCTCGACTTCAGTATCTCCCTCAATGTCAGGATCCTCAGTGTCTGTGCTGGTGTCCTGCATCAAACTGTTCACCACCTGTTTGAAGGAATATTTTTAATATACTGTAAAACAGGAAATGTTGGCATGCAATTTAATTTGACGAAATTGGCGTTTTTTCACATACAGGTCAAATTTACTAGACCTTTCAGCCAACATTTACATTTTCAACATTTGATTGTTCACAAAGAAAGTGCTTTTAAGATGAGTGTTATTGTCAACACACTTTGAAGCGTTGAAAAAGTGTTATGAAAACTTGAGAAAAAGTGTAAATCGTAGACTTTTTAAAACTGTTGCTCATTTAAATGTTGAAGGATTAAATATGTGAACAGTTACTCAAGCTTGTTTGTTTTTGTTAAAAGGGTCCAAACTGCTTGTTCAGCTAAATATGTCATTTCTGATAAGAAGCGACACATATTTCAAAAGTTAATATGAAATACTACAATATTTTTATTAAAGTTTTCAAATATGGACGTTACACATACATACTATAAGGAACATTACATTGTTCATTCATATCTTATTTTACCTAGTTTGTATTTGTATTTATTTATAGAAGGACCATGCATACAAAAACATTAATCTCAGCAAAGAGAAGAGATGCCAGATTATAGCTAATAGCTCATTTCCATCTGTGGTCCTCAGGCAGGTTCATAACAATCAATAAACAAATAATAACATTGCATGATCTCCATCAGTCAAACAATTTAAAAACCTGATTTAAGTACAGCTCAATAGATGAATACATACAGGTACAGATACAGGACAGAACTGTGAAAGACGTGGCCCCCCCCCCCCCCCGATCTTTGGTGTTATTAATCATTACCAACATTATTTTCAGAAACTCCATGAAGCTCCCCCAGATATTTTCCTTTAGTAATGTATGTTAGCAACACATGCTGACAGATCCTCAATATATGTATTCATGTTTCCATCCTATAGCTATTGCCCTCTTAGCTCGTAAAAGACACAAGTCTCAGTGCACGCTCACTCTTCAAAGTCTTTTGGATAAATACCCAGGATGCACCACTTTGGGCTTTTCAGCATATCATGTTAAGAGCCTCCTCCTTCCAAAACCGATTGACCACATTCCCACAAACAGTGAAAGAGTGACCCTTTAGCATCGCTACATTGAAAGCAGGTGTCTGGGGTATTGGGATTCAAGTGATGGAGCCGATGGGATGAACCAACCTCCAGCTCGGGCCTTGTGATGAAGGCACCATGGTGGAGCCCAGCGTGCAGTGGTGAGGGGGAGGTGCTGTGGGATGGGGGTGAAGGAGGGAAGAAGGCAGTGCCCGACCCTGAACCCAAACCCCCCCGTTGCTGTGAACGTAGGGGGAATGAGCCGGACTGTAGCCGTCACCTGGTCTCACCAGAGTGCGTGACTTCACCACGACTCCTTAACACCGCAGTGCGTGGTGGAGGCACGCAAACAACCCCAATGTAAAGTGAAT